TACTTTAATTCCAACTATTGGGGGGAATCCATGGAATCCTGGTGCTGACTCCTTTAGTAAATTAACACTTAATATACCTTGGAAAAATAAAAAATGGATTGCCTCCTCCTTACCTTTATTAACCCCTGAAGTTGGAAATGAAATTACCATGAGTTATCTTATTCCAGCACTTGATAAATATCTTCAAGATTATGAAGAAATACAAGAAATATCAATGATGCATGTTGTTGATTTTATTCCAATTCTTGGACAAGAGAAATCAGTTACAATTATTACTTTATTACAAAAGAGTGTTCAATCTCCTGATTGGAGAATAAGAAAGTCTATTGCAAAACAATTAGGATTATTAGCTCAAAGCACACCAATGTATTCATCTTATGTTGAAGAAATTTGTGTTGCATTACTTATTGATAATGTTAATAAAGTTAGACGTGCAGCAGCAAAAAGAATGGGTGAAGTGATTAATGCATTTTTGACTTGTGGATATGTTGGAGCATCTTCCTTAATTCAAAAATTAACAGATATGTCTAAAGACCCAATGAAAGTTAGAAGAGTTGACTTTGTAACAGTTGCTACTTCATTATTTGTTGCTCTTCCACCAGACCAATTCAATCCATATATCCTTCCATCTTTAGAACTTGCAAGTAAAGATAAAGTTAGTGAAATTCGAATTGCTGTAGCAACAAACATTAAAAAGGTAATGGAAAAACATGAACATTACAATGATGAAATTAAAAAACTTTCAGAACAATTAAAACAAGATGAAGATGTTGACGTTAAATTTATTATGGAAAATGGACCTATTGAATTGTTTAAAAGAAAGAAAACTATCACCCCTGTTGTTGAAGATCCATGTGAAAGAATTGTCTCATTTGAGGGATTTGGAAGAAAGTAAGTTTTCTTGTTCTGCATAACTAAAACACAATTTTTTCATTATTTTTCTGTTTTTACTATTTTGAATTTATAATAGAAAAAATCCAAAAAATAATTTAAAGTAGAAGAAGTAATGTAATAAAATAAACAATAAAAATTAAAAGACTTCAATACATATATCTTTCACTTACTTATTTTGTTAATTGTTTCAACATTGTATGAATCAACAATAAATAATAATAAACAATATGGATTAATCTATAAATAACATATTATTTATAAATCCAATTAATAAATTATAGAATAAAAAAGAATAATAATTGATTAAAATGCTAAATTATTAAATTCTAGAGAATTATTTAAAAATAAAAACTAAATCAATATATTAGTTTTTATTAGTAAGTAACGAAATTATAAATACAATAAATTATATTAACACTATAACTTTGCTGTAAAAAAGAAGGGAAAGAAGTTATTTTTGGTTCTTATAATGAATCCAATCAAATTCACCATCAAATTGAATATTTTCTCTTTTGGCAATAGACCAAAATAATTTTCTCATTGAAAGATAATCAGGTTCTTCTTCAAATTTAAGACTTCTGCTTATTGAAAGAAATTTCTCAAATTCAGGAGGTAATCCTTGACATAACTCGTTGTTAATGGATGATTGTTTTTTCAACAATATTTTCATATATTTATCTTTTTTAGTAGTTCCTTTTATTCCTTGCCAAGGAAGATTTCCCTTCATAAAATAAATAAACATATATGCCAAACTCTCCATATCATCTCTTCTTGATTGTTCCCTTCCAAGATGATTATTGATTGATGCATAACGAACAGTTCCAACAAGATTTTTATCTTCATTGTATTCAATATGTTTTTTTGTTCTTCCATCTCGATATTTTTTTGCTAATCCAAAGTCAATTGTATATACAGTATTTGATCTTTCATTTCTTCCCATGACAAAATTATCTGGTTTGATGTCTCTATGAATGAAATCTTTTGAATGAATAAATTGAATTCTCTTAATGCATTGATCTATTAACATTAATGTTGTCTTTAATGTGAATTTTCTTCCACAAAAATTAAATAAGTCTTCTAATGATGGTCCTAATAAATCCATTACCATGACATTATAACTTCCATATAATCCCCAATATATTACTGATGGGATGCCAAGAGTAGATTGACCTTGGTTAAGGTATTGATACAATTTATATTCATAATTCAGTTGAGAACGAGCAATGTCTTGTCTTTCCATTTTAACAGCAACTAATTCATTTGGCTCTGATTTGTTGAAAGCTAAATAAACATCTCCAAATGACCCACTCCCAATTTTTTTAACAAGAAGGTACTTGTTAGCAATTTTATTTTCCCCCATCAGAAATAATCAAATGGTTTCAAGTTCAGATTATCTTACCAAGCACTAATGATACTTTTTTGTTTGACATTTTAATCGATTCAAATTTTCTTCTTTTTTAGTTTTGATACTATCTTACTGGATTTTTTCGGGAGTTCCTTTTGTTTATGAGGGGTGAGATGTACTGTTTCTATTTTTAAAGCAATCGATGAATTTTTTTTTAATTTAAGAGAATAATTATCTCATCAAGTTATTTTGAGTTATATATTACAAATTTTATTATTTATGTAATATATAACACAAAATAAAATATATTAAAAAAATAATAAAAGTAATAGAAAAAGAAGTACCCTACTTTTTTTAAAAAGAACTAAAAATATTGGGAGTAAAAAGAAGAGTTATGGTTTGTTTCTTGGTTATTATTTTAACGAGAAATAAAATTAATATAATCAAATGAAATGACATTTGTATTTATACAATTGTAGGTATTCAGTAGATTTGTTGAAGTTGGTCGTGTAGTTTTAATGAAAACAGGACCATTTGCCAGTAAGCTCGCTGTTATTGTTGAAATTCTTGATCATAACAGAGTTCTTGTTGATGGACCACAAGCCATTACTGGAGTTCCAAGACAAGTTGTCAATTTGAACACAATCTCTCTTACCTCCTTTGTTGTAAACAAAGTCACTAGAGGTATGACTCATAAGAAACTTTGTCTAAGATTTACTCAAGATGCTATTATTAAAAGACTTAATAAAACTGCTACAGGTAAAGCTATTGAAAAGAGAATTCTTAGAGAAAAGATGACTGATTTTGACAAATTCCAAGTCAGTATTATTAACAGAAAGATTAATGCTGCTGCTAAAATTGCTGTTGCCAGAAAAGCTCATTAAACGAATGATTAGTAGCAAATTTTATTTATAAAAAAATAATAACATAGGATAAAAGAAACAACAAATGATAAAATAAAAATTTTAGAATAATTGGAGAATAATAATTCTATCCGTAGTAAATGGTTTATTATTCTTGAGGCTTGCTAGTACAAAATCTTTTTCTGATATTTCGTATGTTGAAGAAATATTCATAATTTTAGATGTATTTTCTCCAATAGTATTTATTTCATATCCTCCAGTTGTATTTACTTTATATAAAAAGTCACTTTCAATTCCACCTAATGTAAATACATGTTGCCAATTTTCTCCTTTTGGATAGTATTGTTTAATTGTATCTGGTTGATTTAATTTAACTGTGAAAATAAAATGTCTAGGATCAGACATACATTTATTTGTAGATTCAATTGGTTTTCTTATGAAACATCCAATAGTATCATTTCCACAACAAGCCATAATACATAAATAAGATAAGTTAATAACATATTTACTAAAGTCTTTTATTGAATATTCATCTTCTTTACTATCAAAAATAATTTTAGAATTATCACAATTACACCACTTCTGTAATATTTTTTGATTTACTTTTATCATTTCAGTAAATTGGTCAATTAACTCTTTTGGTCTATCAGTAACAACAGTACGTGTATTTGATCTATGGAGTCTCATTTGAATTAATTTAGAAAACTCTTCATCAGATGTTCCTTCTTCTCCATTACTATTATTTGGTACATTTTTTATTTCAATATTTTCACCTTGTATTTGGTCATTATTTATCATTTCAGTAGTTAGCTCTTTAGTTTTTAATTCACCAATACTTTCAGTTTTTGAATCTGGTTGAGATGAAGAAACTAAATCATTTAATGTTGTATCTTTTTTGTTTACTTTTTCTGTTGGTTGTGAATCTTCTATTTTTTGAGAATATGAACTTGATTTTTCAATCATACTTTTTCTATTGTTTCGGTCTTTATCTTTTTTTTCTTTAAACATAAAACTTCTTCTTTTTAATTTTATACTATCCTCATCATTTTCATCTTCTGCTCCACTTGTAAGAGTATCAAGAGTATTTGGCATTTCAGAAGGGATAACAATTTCTTCATTAATATTTTTATGTTTCTCAGGAAAATGATAATGAAATTTCTTACTTTCCCAATTTGGTTGTTCTTCGTCTTTATATCTCTTTAAGTTAGTTGCAAATGTTGAGAGATCTCCATTAGCTGTTTTTTCTATTGAAAGTATTTCTTTATTAATAGTTTCATTAATTAATTGATTTCCAGCAACACAAATCTCATCAATATTATCATATTCTAAATCAATAACTTCTTTTAAAGATTTTAACATTCGTTCCATTTTTTCAATAATTTTTTTTCCTTCCATTAATTCATCTTCTCTTTTTTGGATGATTTTTTTAATTTGTTCTAGTTTTTCTTCACATATATTTTTTATTTCCTTTTGATCTCCAATTAAATACTTTTTAGAAAATGGTTCTAAATTCTGTTTTGTAAATTTAACAACCATTTTAGCATTTTCTGCAGCAGCACACATATCGTCTGCTCTTGATACCAATGTTATAAACGTTTGGTTTTTGTTTATAGTAAGCATTATTGAACTAATTATTTTTTAAGTTTTTATCTTTTAAGTTCTAATGAGATTTTCTATCTTTAAGTGATGGAATTTTGACTCACATATCTTTTTTTAATTTTTTTTAGACTCTTTTTAATGTTCTAGTCTCGTTTCATCTCCCTCATACCTCCGCAAAAAATAACGTATCACCTTCTTTAAAAAAAATAGTAATTTTGCATAATCAAATTTACTCAAATTTGATAAATAAATGCTTTCAAATTAACATATTTCCAATAATAGATTTATTATTGAATGACAAAGCTTTTATTAAAAAATATAAAACCAAGACTCTCTCCCCAACCAATTTCAATTCTTTCTTTATTTTTCCTTTTTCTGAAAACCAAGAAAAGAATTTATTGAGTAAATTAATTCTGAGATTGGAGTATGATGATATTTTTAATACTGAATTTACTAAAATTTCTACCAATGAAAGAATCACTTTTAAGATTTTTATATGATGATCCAATGTCCAACACTTCACTAGCCTCTATATTAGGATAACCAATTACAATACAACCTTTATAATTTACCCTTAAAAGAATTGGACTTGAACTGAAAGGGATATTAAGGATATACTTTGATCGTTTTGCAGAAGGGAACCATCGAGTTGGAACATTTGATAAAGAAGTTTGAAGTGTAAAAATGAAGTGATGGTCATCAGATAAATATTTATCAAATGCCGATATAGAAGAACCGAAATAAAATCCAAAAAGATCAGACTGTGTTTGGAATATAAAGAATAATGATGATTTATTTGTTATTAAATGAGTAAATTCATTTTTATTAAAGGGACGTTGAGAAGAATCATAAATAATGTTTAATGATTGAGCTTGATTCCATTGTTTTAATGTTTCATAATACATTTCTATTCCTTTTAGTTTTGGAGTTGTAATAATAGGAACTTCTGATGCCATTGACCTTGACCTTCTTCTGGGTTTTAGTTTTGATGAAGAGTTTAAAATATCAGTGGATTGTTTTAAAGTTTTTCCTTTATATTTTTCTTCAATTTCAATACCATTCTTACTTTCTGCTGTACGTGCTGTTTGTGGTTGTTCAATAATATCAGCAGTAAGATGGTTCATATCTAATTTTTTAATAGAAGAAATCATTTCAGGATTTATTTTTCTTTTAGTAGTATGAATTTCTAATGGAAATTTAAATGCACCAAAATTTGTTGAACTATATTGATGATTTTTTTTTAATTTTTTTGAACTTTGTTGTTGAGACGTAGATGGTTGAAAATGTGTCATAATTAATTCAACATCTTGATTAAATTTTGTTTTTGAAGTCAAAAGATAACGGTCATTTAATTTACAAATTTCGTGTAATGATTTTTTTATTGTCTTAATTACTTCAAGTAATTGTTTTAAGTCTTTTAAAGCAATTTCATCTAATACTATTTTTTCTTTTCGTTCATTTAATTCTTTTTGAAAATAATTTTCATCTTTTTCATGTTCATTTATTTGAATTCTAATATAACTTTGATCACTTATTTCATTTTCTAATTGTTTTGTGTCTTCACAAAAATTTTCTAAATTTTCTTTAAACGTTTTATAATTCTCACATTCAACAAATTCTTGCATTTAATTAACAAATGAGACTATTCTTTGAATAATAATGAAGTTCCCAATAGTTTTCATCTTTTTCTTTTTTATATTATTCGTTCTATTTTTTACTTTCTTCTTTAAAATTAAAACTCCAGTTTATCTAAAAATAAACTTTATTTTCATTATTTTATTTTTTAATTTTAAAAAATTTAAAAAATTTAAATTTTTTACACTTTTTATGTTTAAATATTTTTTGGTGAATTTACCATCAATTCAACTACTTGAATTTGTTTCAATAGAATAAAGAGAATAAAAACATAAATTTTTTTTTGATAAGTTTTTTAATTAAAAAGATATATAATTTTTAATAAAAACAAAAGAAATTTAAAATATAAAAGAATCAAATACTTTTATTCAAATAAATGGCAACTACCAAGGAAGTTGTTTCTCCAGTTAAACACAACTCACGTCAGTTTAATTTAATTCTTCAAGAGAAACAGGAACAGTTATATTCCGAAATATTTGAAGGAAAAAATGTTATTGAACTTAATGTAAATAATATGATATTTTATTTACCTAGAATGAATGACTGTGTTGGTATTATGGGAATATTATTAGATAAGAACAGAGATAGTCTTAATAAAGGAAAACCAATTAAAGTTACATTAGACCAAACTCTGGTTCCTGCTTTTCAAAAATATCTTAATTTTATTGATGACAAACGGTCATTTATTCCAGAATATGATATAAAAGAATCTGTTGAATATATTTCTGATTTATGTAGATTTGGTACTCCTATTCAGTTAGCTTTAAATCATGTAGTTCCAGAGTCTTTGAATGATAGAAAAAAGAGAGAGGTTTTATTAGAAGTCTTAATCAAAGGAATGACTTCAGCATTATTAAACTCAATTATGTTATTCAATGAAAAGAAAGAATGTAAAAATTTATTTATTCCAGTATTATTAAAGTTACAAGATGATAGTTCAATAATTAATAAATTAAAACTTTGGCTTGAAATGTCTATTGTAAGACCTAGACATTGTACAATTGCATTTACTGGAAGTATTAATCTTAATTCTCAAACAGAAAAAAAATCTGTTTCTTTAAGTTCAGATATAAAAAGTTCAAAGTTGAATTGTAATAATAACACTAATAATTGCACTGTTTGTGATATAATTTCTCATGAAAATTTAACAAATAATAAGTCAAAGACTAATTGTGTGCATAAATCTGAAGTTTTATTCAAGAAAGAATATAAATACACTGATAAACAAATGTTTGGATTATTATTATTACAATCCATTATTAGAGGATATAAGACAAGAAAGTTATATAATATTCATAATATAATTCAAAGAAAAGAATGTATCATTGAATTACTTCAAACTGAACAAAATTTACATAATAACATGAAACTTATGAATAAATACTTCCTTCAACCAATGACCATGAAACAAAAAGATGAATTATTTAAAAAGAAAGTATCAAGCATATTCTTAACATTAACACGTTGTATCACTTCTTCTTCAATTTTTATAGAAAAGTTAAGTAATATAGTTCAACACTATAAGGTAGATAGTTGTGTTGGTAATTCATTACAAATGCTTCTTCCATACATTGCCCCATATTTAAATTTCACAACAGATTACCAAATCTCACTTTCTACTTGGAAAGATTTAAAAAGAACAAGTGATGTTCAAGAAATTCTTCGTTCAAATTTAGGAGTTAAAGAATTAGAAAATCAAACACTCGAATTTTTACTCATCCAACCTGTTCAACGAGTAATGAGATACCCAATGTTAATAAAAGAAATTATTAAATTAACAAATAAAAATCATCCTGATTATCAACCTTTAAAAGAAGCATTCAGAGAATTTCATTGTTTTAGTAAAATTGCAAATGAACGTTCTAAAATGAGAGATTCTTTACAACAAGTTGCAAAAGAACTTGGAGATGATGAACTGCTTGTTGATAATCGATATCATTTATGGACAAGTGAAGTTGTTTCTAAAATAGAAAGTAAGGTGTATTTATTTAACGATATGGTAATGATGTGTACTAAGCAAAAAAACGGAAAATGGTGTATTTCAGAAACAATGCAAATTGGAGGAGATGTTGAAATTACAGTTATAGATAAAATAGTAACTGTAAAAAAATTTAGATATACAAAACCATTGATATTTGAATTAGAAAATAAAGAATTAGGACTAAAGTTTAAAAGTCAAATAGAAGAAATAATTCGTGATGATTGGTTTAATTTAAATGATGAACGAAGTTGGATTGATTTGGTTGATAGAAAAATTAAAGAATCTTCTGACTACTAACTTTTAGTTCATTTTCTTTTTAACCTTTTGTATGATTTACTGATGAAAAAGTAATTTTTATGAAGTTTATCAATAATTATTATTGTCTCATTTACTTTCTATAGAAATATAGCTCGTCTTTTTCCGTTATTCATTTATTCTTTCATAAGTCTACATTTATTTAATATTCATTTCTCTATTGCTTTTTCTTTTTTTATCATTATTTATATTTGTTTTGAATAAATTAATCATAATAAATATGATGACTAACTCTTTCTTTCATTCTAATATAACAATTCATTTGATTATTATTTATTATTCATTCAATCTTAGTAAAAAATTCATGTATTTCATGATACTATCTTTTATTTTGTTTATTTTTTCTCTCTTCTATATCATGTATTTATTTATTCTTTTAAATGATTATTATTTTCATCATTTAATATATAGTTTCAATGTGTATTACTTATGAAGTTATTCTATTGTTATTTAGTATTTTGTTTTTATGTTGAATAAAATATGATAAATAAATAAAAATCATCCTAATTATATCAAATTGATACAAATTACATGTTGTAAATAAATGAAAATAACAAGACATGAAATAAATAATGAAATAACATATATTTAAATGAATAATAAAATAAATGAAAATAAAATTATTCTTCTTTTTATTTTATCAAATTATCATTGTTTCATTTCATATTTATTATCATTATCATTTTAAATTGATTAATATTGTTATTTAGTATTATGAAAATAAAAATATAATTAAAATTATATTGATTCTTCATTATTATTCATTATTTCTATTAAAAATGAAATTATAAATTGTTATATTATAACTTGTTGATGAAATTTGTTGTAAATTTTATA